CCCCCCCCCCCCAGCAGGATTAGGGTTAAAAATGGATTTGCGAAAAATTTTTTGGGTAGCATTTCTGAAAATTATATATAAAACTCAGAAGACTGCATATTAACATAGTCTGAAGAAACTGTTTTGACTTGAAACCTGATGGTCCATTTTCATCAGTATGTTATGAAAAGTAAATTCAATTATAAAAAATGTGTGGAATATTAACTATGTAATTTTTTTTAAACCGTTTAACTGTTCTCTACAAAACCCTATGCTTAAAAAGATAAATATTATTTTGGCAAAATGGAGAAAAGCCATTGATTTGTGAAAGGGTTAACTATCAGTAATTTCTGATGACCTAAACATTAACAAAATTGGACAATTCTTAATTTAAAAAAATGGAGCAAAAAAATTTTAACAGAACAAAATTTGATTCCAAATCATTCACGGTTTGTTTCTTATAGTACTTTACCCCGTACTAGTTGTGTAATATATTTCAAAATTACAAGAGGATAAATGAAAGAAAAAGAATGTAATGTTAAGTGCACCAACTTGATCTGAAATAAATACATCAAGTTTAATTGCATCATTAAATTAGGATTGTTTTTGCTGAAAGTGTAGTTCAGAAACTAAACATATGCATTAAGTCTACTCGTGTTTTTCCTGCTTATTTCTAAATCTTTTTTGTTCATATATTTTGAAAATGTTGTCAATCATGATTGGCTTATTCTATTAAAAAAAACTTGCCCATGTTATTCTTAATCCTGATTGCCTGTGCTGCAATAAGAAAATGTATTATTTCACACCAAGTTTTCCAAACAATTTCATTTGTGCCAAATAGTAAAAGTCTAAAAAGATCATTATTTGAGTTTTTAAAAAGCATATTCAAGTACATCCAAGGTTACATAAAATAGTGATATTTCTAGGGCTGGACATGTTTCAAGCCTTTCGATAACAGTTAGCTTAAATAGGAAGTATTATTAGTTTTTTAAACTTACTGTTTGTTTTAATTTTAATTTAGCTGTTTTCTGTGCCAGCTGTCAACAAGGCATTAACTTTTATTTCTTGTAAAAATAGCTAAACAAAAAAATAAAAATAAAAAAATAAAAATACTTTGGCGGTCAGCTAAATAACGACAAAGGTTCACGATTAACTGATTATATATTTTTATCTAAAGTACATGGTTAAAAGTTTTATCTATCTTCTTATGATTTTTTATTATCCGTGGCTAGAGAAACTCCCCTTAGACTTCTCAGCTGCCGGGGAGAATTCTCCAAGAAGAACGACTTTCATAACCGCCACAGTAGTCCCCCCAGAAGGAATGGCAGAGATGTGGCGGAACAGATCCTTCTATCCCTGGAAGTCCTGTAAGGATTATGACGTGCAGGTGTAGGTGGAGGAAGAATTTGAGGAACGAGTTGAAACCTGACTCTCTTGGGTATTTGTCCGGTGGAGGATGGCGGAGGATCTGAAGAACTTGCCACTGGACAACGGCTGGGTCTTCCTCGAGGCGGAGGAAGAGCAGGAGTGACAGGAGCATCACTAAACACAGGTTTCAGGCAATCTACAGAAACCACATCTTGTTTGGAACCAATCTGGAGGCGGAAGTATTTACTCTGCCTTTCTAATACCAGGTAAGGTCTGGGATACGGATGAGCCAGAGTTGGTATAACTGCATCCTGGGGAACAAAAACGAACTTGGCTGTCAAGAGGGCCGAAGGTAGCTGAGATGGAGGAACAGGACAAACATGATGAGGCGGAGGAATGGCGAAACCATCAATGGCTCTGTCAACCTTCCTCTGGAATGACTCAGGAGGAAGTTCCGGAACATCCACAAGTTCACTAGGCAAGGTTAAAGGAGAACCATACACAGCCTCGGAGACTGAGGGGCCAGTATCATCCTTTGGAGTAGCTCTCAAACCCAAGAGAACTAGAGGAAGATGAGAAAACCAGTCTGAACCTGCTAATCTGGCCCGGAGAGAAGATTTTAAACTTCTATGGAATCTCTCGACCAGTCCGTTACTTTGAGGATGGAAGGAGGTTGTAGTAGAGGGTGAAATCCCCAAAACCAGGCCCGTAGCCAGGGGGGGTGCAAGGGTGCAGGTGCACCCCCCTTTCTTCTGAAAGAGGGGTGCAATGACGAATTTGCCCCCCCCCCCCCTAGTCCCATATAAAAGAAATTGTTTTCATAAGTTTCTAAAATCTAGTTATAAATTATATAGCCCGAGTAAGAATTGATTTCCAAACCAAATTATAATCTATTTGTTACTCATTAAAAGTGTGACGGAGTTTTTGTGTACTCTCTCAACTCATGCCCTGAGTTATGTCTCTCCTGTGACCTACCGCAGGTTAACTAACAGTTGATCAGTACACTCTGTTGATTAAATATAACACAACATCAAAATTTACTCATAGCCATTTAATAGTTGTTTAAGTTAAATTAAAACAGCATGATTTATTAATTATATGCATAGAGTCCCTTGGAAATGAAATGGTAATCTCCTTTACACTTTCCGACTTTTAGCCCCCCCCCCCTTGACTGGTGGGCTATGTTTTATGAGTCTGTTTTTTTGAGACATTTCCGTGGTGAGGCGTTTTCANTCAGAAATTTATCATTGAATATATCTAGTTTCTTCAGATGGCTTTGTGATATTGTATGAACAGTGAGCAGAAATCGAATAGAAGGAATGAAATAATGTTTGTAGATCCAGACTTTATATTCATCCCGAATAAGAAGTGCATTAATGTTAGTTTGCATTAGTTTTTTTTCAAATTCACTCTTGATGTAATCGAACGCATCACTAAGTTTACCAGTAGGATATAGAAGTTTGCCAAGGAATTTCTGTTCTTCTTGAAATATATTTGGAATTTCAGTTTCACCAGTAGTAAAGTTTATTCTGCTAGGTACACCTGATCTGATGGAAAATGATCTACATTTTGCTGGTTTTAATCTCACTCCCATACTTGACTCTGTTAGTTAAGCAGTACGTTCCCTTAAAACTTAAAAGCTCAAATACACTTTATATAGCCTTTATAGTGTGCATTGACAATCTAATAAGAACAACCATATACCAATGTAAAACCAAACCAAACATTGTTTAAAAAATCATTAAAAACCCCCCAAAAAAATGTTTCGCATGCGTCATGTCATATTGCACCCCCCCTGGTCAAATCCTGGCTACGGGCCTGCCCAAAACAGAACAGACTCCATTCCAGATTGAAGATGTGAACTGGGAACCTCTGTCTGATGTGAGAACTGCAGGGACTCCGAACCTTGATATCCAGGTTGAGATGAAGGCACAAACACAGGACTCAGCGGAGATAGAGGATAACCGAACAACCTCTGGCCATCTTGTAGTTCTGTCTATCATGGTGAGAAGATAAGAAAGGCCTTGACTGGAGGGTAGAGGACCCACAATATCAACATGAACGTGAGAAAACCTTCGGATTGGAACTGGAATAGATGGAACAGTAGAATGAATGTGAGTTGAAATTTTGGATTTTTGGCAAGGGATACAGGACTTTGCCCACAAACCAACATCTCGAGACATTCCTGGTCAAACAAATCTTGATGAGATTAATCTCCTGGATGCTCTGACACCAGGGTGAGACACACCATGTAGCTGATCGAAAAGCTTGCGACGTAGTTGAAGAGGAAGCAGAGGACGAAGAGAACCAGTTGAAATATCACACAAAATTTCTCCTGATCTTAGAGGATGAACAATCACTAACAACAATCACAATCAGTCTTCTTGATGTCCTCCTGCTCAACCGGCACCTGGTAATATCCTTTCTGAAGATCCAATTTAGAAAAAATAGATAAACCACTGATTCGTGAGGTGAAATCGGCGATGTTGGGAAGTGAATAACAGTCAGGAACGGTGGCGGTAATTGCCGCAGGGTCTCCATCCTCCATCTTTTTTCTTGTCCATATGTAGTGGAGAGGCCCAAGGAAAAGTGGAACGGCGGATAATACCGGCTTTTTCCATGGTGGAAAACTCTGCTTTAGCTACAGCGAGTTTGGCAGGATCTAAACAGTGGGCTTTGGCAAAAACTGGAGGTCCAGGCTTGGTGAGGATATGATGACGAACTTGATGACGTGGAGGAGCAGCAGTAAAACCATCAGACTGCAGGACATCAGGAAACTCCTGTAGAAGGTCTGACACGCACTGAGGAGTGGAGAGGAAAGCTGCTTGCATAGATGATGTAGAAGGTGGCGGTGAAGAGGACAAATCAACGGCAGAACCCCTAGATTTACTGTTTGAAAATACCTTCTTGTTCCTCACGTTCACACTGAGGTCATGATGTTGAAGAAAATCTGCTCCAAGGATAGGAACAGAAACTGGAGCCAACTGAAACGTCCATGAACAATTCCATGTTCCAAAACGTAGAAGGATAATCCTGGAACCTGAGCAGGTTAAGGTTGACCTTTTTGCAGTGAGTAACTGAACACCAGATGATGTGGGGGAGGCTGGAGCTGGGAAAACAGATATTGAGGCACCAGTGTCGACTAGAAACCGGCGATTAGAGAGTACATCATGTAGGTAAATGAGAGTAGAGCCTGTTGAACTGGCAGGCAGGGAAAATGTATCCTCCTGCCTGTGTTTTAGTTTCCAGACCATGAACATGGGCTTTGACAGCTGAGGGCCTTTGCACCGATTTTGGCTTGATACCAACAAGAAGATGGTGAAGATAAACGGCGGGAAGGAGCTGCAGGAATCTGAGAACGGTAGTTAACAGGGCTAGGAGGGCGTTGTGAATGTTGAGCACGGTGGTTCTGTCATGAAGGAGGTGTATTCACAGCATGAACCGAATCCACAGCATTAACCGAGGAACTGGGGGATAAACTGCTCCGGTAGATCTCGTCAGCACGATGAGAGAGAACAGCGATGTCCACGGTTTTATCATGCACTGAATGTGACCTGACATCAGTTGGAAGTTGTCTGAGGAAAGCGCACCGAAGGAACAAACACTCTTGATGCTCTATAGGAAGAAGTGCCCGCATCCTGGACAATAATGCTGAGGGCAACATGTCTCTAGACAGGGGAAGTGACATATTTGATTCACAACAAACATAATCTGTCAACGAATGTGTCTGTAATAGACGAGACTTGAGAGCACTGTAAGGATCGGCTGCAGGTGGGTTCCTGATGATGTTGACGATGTTATCGATTTCCTTCTTGGGTAGGGACGCCACAACATGATGGAACTTGGTGCTGCTGGTGGTGATGTTCTTGAGATGGAGCTGTGACTCTGCATTAATGAACCAGGATTCGCAGCTGTCAGGCCAGAAAACAGGCAGCTTCAAAGCAACAGCGTAAAGATGGCTGGACGAGGAGGCCTTGGACTGGTTGGCAGTGTCCACGGTCAAGGCTGGATCTCCAGGCATCACGACTCTGAAAAATAACACTGTTGAACTAGATTTTCACTTACTGTAAGAGCCTGTGAATAAAACAGGGAGGCAGGCTTACTTTTCAGCTGAAAAAAATCTAGTGAAGAAATTAACTCAAAACACTGAGTTTTATGTTTATAAAAATCTGCTCAACTCAGTGGGTTGTTTCACTTAGGACTTAAGAAAATGTATTAAAAAATGTCCGGGGTCACCAATTTGGTGGTCAGCTAAATAACGACAAAGGTTCACGATTAACTGATTATATATTTTTATCTAAAGTACATGGTTAAAAGTTTTATCTATCTTCACATGGTTTTTTATTATCCGTGGCTAGAGAAACTCCCCTTAGACTTCTCAGCTGCCATGGAGAATTCTCCAAGAAGGACGACTTTCATAACCGCCACAATACATTATTTATTTTCTGTAAACTTCACGCAATTTAAGTGAAAAAATAAACAAAATTTGCCGTTACTTTAAATGCACATTCATTCATTCATCATCATTATTTTTTCATAATGGTTATATCCTTTAGTTTAAAAAGATTGAAATCCCCAAAGGAGGATTATGAAATCCTCAAATCAGTGGTGTCTGATCTTGGAACCAGGGAAGACCTACTCAACTTCCTCTCCTTTTAAACACTCGTTATTTATCATGTAATTATAACTAGAAGCAATAAATGTACTTCTAAAGTGGTGACCCCAGACAACAAATGAACCATGGCTGAAAACACAGCCTCCTGCAGGTCAGAAACAGCCCAAGAATTGGACAAGGATGACTTTCTTCATCCTAAAAACCTCAGCTACTCCTGGAGCTAATAAGCTAAATCTCAGCAACTCTTGGAGCTACTAATAAGCTAAATCTCAGCTACTCCTGGAGCTAATAAGCTAAATCTCAGCTACTCCTGGAGCTAATAAACTAAACCTCGGCTACTCCTGGAGCTAATAAGCTAAACCTCAGCTACTCCTTGAGCTAATAAGCAAACTTCAGCTACTCCTGGAGCTAAGAAGCTAAACTTCAACCCTCCAGAAGCTAGTCAGCTACACAGCTACTCCTGGAGCTAATCAGCTACACAGCTACTCCCGGAGCTAAACAGCTACTTCTGGAGCTATCAAGCCACTCAGCTGCCATCTTTAACCTACTAGTAGATATTCTGGACGCCAGTTCTCTTCAGTTTGAATATATGCCACCTAACTTTCACTACAACTGATCTCTTTAAATGGCCACTGGCCAGCCTTCCATAAGGTTGATCATGACGTGGGGAGGGGGCAGATCAGAAATTCACAAACAACTAATTGTGAAAAATGATCAATCATCACCAGAACTCCTACTACTCCTTTTCCGTAAACACTTACAAGGAGATAAATATCAGTCTCAACTACCTCTATGCTTGAGACTTAGGGGGGACTTCTGTAGAGGATGAAATCCCTGAAAGAGGATTATGAAATCTGCAAATCAGTGGTGTCTGATCTTGGAACCAGAGAAGACCTACTCAACTTCCTCTCCTTTTAAACACTTGTCATTTATCATGTAATTATATCTAGAAGCAATAAATTTACTTCTAAAAGTTAACAATTTCAAAATTAATAGTTTTTGCCATTCATTAACAAGATCTTTGGTTAATTTTCAAAAACTTACCGTTTATTGACAGAGCCTAGATATATCAACTAGGTGGAATGACCCAAATCCAAGCCTGAACTTATGTATTGTGAGATCTGAATGATCAGTTTTAAATTTAATTAAGTTTTTTAAGGATTGAGTGAAATATGCAACTAAGTAAAGGAATTGAGTTTTTGACACAAATTCAAATTTTCTAAATCCTAAATCTTTGCAACCTGATATTTCAAACTTAGTCTAGGTCTACCAAAAATTAAAGTTTGAAATTTCAATGATCTACAAACTGGGATCGTAAATATGAAAATCAAGGTTTGCGGCCAAGACTTAATTGCTTTACATGGGCTCTATGCTCTTGGGCTATAATCGTTAAGTTTCAACCATTTTCTATTGAGAGACGCAGCAGTAAAAAAGTAAAAAAATAACACACAGTTCCTAAATTGTGGAATGCAATTGAAAATGACCTTAAAGAAACTAAATCTGCAAAATTATTTACAAAGAGTAATCAATATTTATTTTGAGAATTATGAGAGGTTTAAATGCGAAAGACCTAGCTGTATATCGTGTGAATAAATTTTGAAAAAAAAACTAAAATAACTGAAACTTTATTAGCTTATTTCTGTTTCTGTATCCACCATCATTAACACCCTGTATTTCAATTTATCTCTACATAAAAATCCCTCTGATCTCACCCTGCCAAAGATCACCTGACAATCTCCTTCCTTCCAATCAACTCCTTACCTATCCAAAAACATATCTTGATATGTGTAACCAATTATATTCAGTATTGTTAATTAACTTCGGGTTAGGCGGGTCCAAACTGCATAGTAAATTGTGATTGCTTATTTGTAATATCTCATGCTTTGTAGTTGAATAAAATATGAATGAATGAATGAACCCCTTTTAATTTATCAAGAATAATCCCTTTAAGCTCTCAAGAGGAAATATTTAAATCAGATTTAAAAATGGTAAAATATATAAGGATCTAAGCTGCAAGCAATACAGCAGGTCTAGGGTTAAGGTTATCAATACTAGAACGTACAAACATATTTTTAATGAGGCAATTAATGACATGACAATTCAGATCAAGTTGAGACACATAACTATGCTCAGCTCATTTATTCAACAATGGATAAAATTTTGCATTCTCGAATATCTATTTACAGGTAAACTATTAATAAGAACTAAACTCACAACTCATGAATCCCTAAAAAACAGGAATTAAGTAGCAACTACACTATTTCTTTAAAGAAATAGCATTTCAATTATAATTTAAAAAAAAACATTATACTTATAGAGTATACTTTTTTAATGCAAAAAAAAATATTTATTTTGGTATAAATTCCAGCTTTATTTGTTGAACTTTAGATCTCAATCAGATGGTTTTTTCCACATGCTGTGGTCACTCTACAGTTCCCATTTAATTTACATATTCTGAAGTTGATTCTTTGCCAAAAACTCTGATTTTCTAATTTTTATATCTTTGGCAACCCACCTTGGATATTTGGATCCTTTAGCTAGTTATAGATATAATTATAAATTATAAATTGAAATAACACTGAGTTTTACAAATAGATCCCAGGTCATAATGAGAGATTAAAAATAAGGTCTCAAACCAACATGCTTTTTAATTATCACGAGGACAAAAATTCCCAATTTTAAACATTTTCTGAAATCAAAATTATGAAAATAGCTCTATTAACACTAATTTCAACAGTATACATCGTCAAATAGATTTGTTTACTGAACTACAATAAGTGCCAACCAAATTTTCATTAAATGAAATTCTCGAAAATGAACAAACGAAACTGAATGAATTTTGTTCAAAATTGTCGACGATTTCGATGTACTTTCTCCCTTTTTGTGAAATTTTTTTTCGATAAAATTCTAAATTTTTTTCTGTTCCGCATCAAGAAGATCCTTGGATAAAGTAAACTAGCAAATAGCCTTCAGAAACAAATAATTTCTCAATATATTAGTTTCAAAATTGTGTATATGAAAATTGTTAAAATAAATTGTTTATCAGTGATTTTCTGCATTTCTATTTTCACGTCTAGAACCTTGAACATACAGGGTTACACACAAAAAATAAGAATAAAATGACAACCTGAAAAACTTTAACTATAAAGATCTGACGGTTCTTTAAAAAAAAAATTTTAAGCTGCCAAGAACATTCAATCAAACAAAGACTCACAAATTTAAACTGTCGTCTCTTAGGTTTCTTTCTTTGTGGGTAATGTAATAAAATAAGGTTAAAATTTCAAGAAAATGGGTTGTTGAAAATTTTTAGCGAAAGGTCCAAAATTTGTTTAAACTAACATTTTGAGCTACTCTAATGAATGCTATAAAAGTACATAAATCACCCTTATTTACTTTAAACTCCATCTATCAAAGACCTAAAAGGGAACATGCATCAAAAGAGGACTTGAAAAAGTTTGATGAGACTAAAAAATTGGATTAAGATATTGTTACTGTCTTAAACCTTTCAGAAACATGATATTTAAGTTAAAAACAAGAAAGATGAAGTTGCACAGAACATTCATTTCAATATTTCATTTTACATTATGGAAATGTACAACAATTTTTTATCATTTAATTTTATTATTTTCAGGCTTATTAGGTAATTTATTATTTACCTTTAATGATGAAACCCCCCTTGACCAACTGAATCCAACCTGCTGTGAGTCCCAGCATATTTTATCCTGCCAAAGAATCACAGTAGAATTTTCTGCTATTGGGAAATCTTTCATAGTTCTGCCAGGAAATATGACCTTGAACTTCAGCAACTTCGTTACTATAAATGAAAAGGGTCTGCACTACATCAGTAATGAAGCCAATGCAATATTGACATATAATCCACAAGAGTTAAGTCTTCATGGACACATTCAATTTTCAACTGGTGAATCATACACAATAGAAAATTGTAAAGAACAAGGCCATATTTGGAAGCAAATTGATGTAAATAATCTTGTGGAACATTCTATCAATGACATAACACATCTTACTGTGGCTGTGGATGCCCCACAAAACCAAACCAATCAGGTAGAAACTGACATCGCACTTGATAATGAAACAATTGTAGAATTCTCTGTAAAAATTTACTACACCAGAGAATTTGCCTCTGCAACTTTAGATATGCCAGGGTTTTTTAACCAAATGCTTGCAGAGACAAACCAAGGTTATATAAACAGTGAGATACCAATGAGAATATTTATCCATGAAACAGAAGAAGCTACAATAATTGACCAGAATGATTCTACCGCAATGTTGTATGCATTCACATTCATGAAGTCATCAGCAAAAGAGTTAAGAGGGAGTGCTGATACCACTGTTCTTCTTGTGAACAGTATGGATGCTTGTGGAATAGGTTTTCTAAACACAATTTCCACTGGGCTGACTGTATCTGTAGTCATGAAATCTTGTGCAGTTGGATATTTTTCATTTGGCCATGAAATAGCCCATGGTTTTGGTTGCCAACATGATCCTCAAACTTCCACTAATCTAATTTATTCTGATGGTCATGGACACCTGATTCTGCGCGGATCTGCTTCACAAGGATATAGAACAATATTGGCATATAATCATCATGGATTTGAAACACGAGTAAATTACTATTCTAATCCTGATGTGAGGCTTAATTTTACAAAAACCTTCACTGGAAATAGACAAATTTCAAACAATGCACGAATTCTTACAGAAAATAGAATGCAAATGGCAGCCATTGGAGATGAATCAATTAGACTTTCTACAAAAACCCCTTTTGTTACATCCAGTATTAGTACCATTTCTTTTATACCTACTTCACCTGTATTTATTGCAACACCTACCACATCTACTGCTAAAGGTTCAAACTCTACTGAGTCAACAACTAAACAATCAACATTCATTGCTTCAACTACTAAAGGTTTTACCACCATTGCTTTAACAACTATAGTGTCCCTCTCTACTGATTCAATTACTGAAGATTCAACCACTATTACATTAACTTCAAAAGTTTCAACCTCCACTTCTTCAACTGCTGAAGGATCAACTTCCATTACGTCAACTTCTGAAGTTTCAACCTCCACTGCATTAACTATCGACAATTTAACTTCTAATATGTCAACTACTGAAGGTTCAACCTTCACTGTTTTAACTGCTGAAGGTTCAAATTACACTGCTTCAAATGCTGAAGGTTCGGCCATTAATGCTTCATCTACTGAAGGTTCAACCTCCACTGTTCCTTCTAATGTAGGTGAAACCTCCACTGTTTTCTCTACTGAAGATACAGCCTCCACTGTACCTACTACTGAAGGTGAAACCTCCACTGTTTCTTCTCCTGAAGGTGAAAGCTCTATTGCTCTTACTACTGAAGGTACAACCTCCACTGTTCCCTCTACTGTAGATGACACCACCACTGTACCTACTACTCAATGTACAACCTGCACTGTACCTTCTCTTGAAGGTGAAAGCTCTACTGCTCCTACTACTGTAGGTACAAACTCCACTGTTCCCTCTACTGTAGATGACACCACCACTGTACCTAGTACTGAAGGTTCAACCTCCACTGTACCTACTACTGTAGGTGAAACCTCAATTGTACCTACTACTGAAGGTAAAACCTCCACTGTACCTTCTACTGGAGGTTCAACCTCCACTGTTCCTACTACTGTAGGTGAAACCTCCACTGTTACTTCTACTGTAAGTGAAACCTCCACTGTGCCTACTACCACAGGTGGGACCTCCACTCTACCTTCTACTGAAGGTGCAACCTTCACTGTACCAACTACTGAAGGTTTAACCACTATTGAACCTTCTACTAATGGTAAAACTTCCACTGTGACTACTACTGCGGGTGAAACCTCCACTGTACCTTCTACTGAAGGTGCAACCTTCACTGTACCAACTACTGACGGTTTAACCCCTATTGGTCCTTCTACTACTGGTAAAACCTCCACAGCGCCTATTACCTCAGGTGGAAGCTCCACTGTACCTGCTTCTGAAAATGAAGCCTCCACTGTACCTACTACTCAAGGTTCAACCACCACTGTACATACGAATGAAGGTGTTGCCTTCACTGTTCCTATTACTGGAGGTGCAATCTTCACAGTTCCTTCTACTGAAAGTGAAACCTCCACTGTTACTACTACCAAAAAAGACTACACTTTACCTACTACTGAAGGTGCACCTCCCAATTTACCTACTACTGAAGGTGAAAACTCAATTGTAGGATTTCCCTCCATTGTTTCAACCACCATTCATTCTTCTACAACTGGAAGTTCAACCTCCACTGCTTTTAGTATTGCAGAAGCAACTTTTTTTTGTCCACTTTGGAAGATTCTACCTCAACTGCAACAGTTACTGAAGGTATAAAGCTCACAAATTTAACTACAGAAAGTGCAATGGCCAGTAGTAAACCTAGAATATCAACTGCACCAGGTTTTGAATTGGCATCAAGGCCAACTGAACCTGTGCCCATATTTCCATCTGATACCACTACTTTTTCTCAAATATCTGTCTCTACATCATCTTTGTATACTTTTTCTTCATCTACTTCAAGGTCTATTATGAAAGAAGACAATGACTGTTATGAAGACAGTTCTCTTCCAAACTTGAGTTTTATATTTACCTTTCAAGTATTTGCAAGATCTTCCCTGGAATGCCAAAGAATTTGTGCAGCTAAGTCTGCATGTACATTTTGGAACTTTTATGTTTTTAATGGAATGTGTGATTTAAGACAATTTAAATTTGAAAAGAATGACTACTGGAAAACATCTCCTAAACTTTGTGATAAGATCCCCAACTACTCATGTAGATTGCGTAATAATAAGTTTGTTCTGAGCTATACTCCTGTTTATGCTGATGAGATTGAATGCCGTTTGGCTTGTAAAACTGCATACTACTGTGAATATTGGGCATATCAGATGGTGAATGATAATAGACCACAATGCAGGATTTACTATATTACCAGTGTAGCTTATGGATGGATTTCTGGCCAGTTCAATAATTTGTGCTTACAGTAAAATAGTAGATGATTGATGTTAAATTAATAATTACAATTTAAGTTTTTAAATTAATGATAACAATATTTGTTGTAATCAGGGCCAAATTTTCAGTGTCTTTTTAAAAAATTTATCAACTCAAATTCAGTAATTTTTTGAAAAATAAATATTATCAAAAAACATTGTATTTTGATAAAAATGAATTTCAATTATTAATGCCAATTTTAAAAATCATTTTGTTGTTTATTTAGCAATCATACAATCCAGATACCCAACCCCCTTGAGCTCTTTGAAGACTGTAAAGCCGACATCTGATTAGATTTGTAGATGTTAATTCTAAGAACGACCAATAATGACAATCAGGACTTGAAAGGCACTTTGACTTGCAATCTTCAATGTGATTAGAATTCACAGCCAGGTAAGACAAAAGGAATCTTTTGTTGGATTCTTTACAGGGGAATTCTGGCAAACGTCCGCATATTTTTGGTCCTGATCTCCACCCTGTGCTGGTCCTATATGACTCATAGCCAAATATCCAAATATAGCATTCTTTGTGGAAAGTGTTATAAGTCCAGTACTCACAGTCTCTTCTATCTTGGCATTCATTTTCACAATGATGTATTCCATTATTTCTAGTCACTTTTTCCTGTAATAGGGAAATTAGCACCGGAAATGAGTCAGCCTGAGAACATAAACTAAAATTTTTTGTCTCGCCTAATCCATTGGTATCATTTGTAATATCCAAATTATTCAAACTTTTTAATGTTTCAAGTGATAAGTTAGAAGTTGTTGTTGGGGAAGGTTTAGTTGGGCTCTCTGTTTCATTTTGATCAGGTTCTAAAGTTTTTCCCCCAACCAGAGAGCCATCTACAGAGCTATCTGAAGAGCCATATGGAGAGCCATCTGAAGATCCATCTGGTGAACCATCTGGAAGGCTTTTTGGTGTAGTTACAGTGAAAACTCCAAATGGGTCAGTTTGATTTCCAGTCGAATTTGAAGATGGAGGACCATTGATTTTAAGTTCTTCAGATTTCTTAGCAACCTTTGACGGGCACATAATAGATTCATCACCAATGGCTGCCATGCTGAATCTATTTTCATTTAGGACATGAACATTTTTAGACTTTTTATCTCCAACTGTTGTGTTAGAATAAAGAAATATTGCTTCATTAGAGTACAAATTTAGCCTGGTTTTGTGCCCCTCATGTGATAAGGCCATAATAGTTCTGTATCCTTCTGTAGTGTTTATCTTAGGTTGTATAAGAAACCCATGTCCTTCAGGATGGAATAGATTAGTAGTTGACTGAGGTTCATGCTGTAATCCAAAGTTATGTCCTATTTCATGACCTGCAGTGAACAAACTCAGAGCACAATTTTTTCTAACCACCGAAACAGTATTGCCAGTTGCTATTCCATTAAAGTAAGATATACCACAGGTGGACATGTTTCTTACCAACAGCATTACAACATCTGCACTTCCTCTTAGGTCTTCAATTGAATCTTTCATGTATACAAAGTTTAAAAGTGCCCGTTTGCGTTCATAAACATCACTGATTGAGGCCAACTCAGCACAGTGGAGCTTCACTTTCAGTGGAACAGAGCTTATGGCATACCCTTGGTTTGTTTCAGCGATCATTTGGGCAATAAAACCATCAGGGTCGGGGGTTACCGCAGCAAATTCTCGAGTGTAGTATACTCTTACAGAGTATGATATCGTGAACAGAGAAGTTTTTTTTATAAGCTCAATGTGGTCTTGTCTAATTTCCATGGATGAATCGCCTACTGGAGAATCAATATCAAGTGTATTAAGTAAATCCATATCAATTGTCTTCCAAACATGACCATGCTTGCCGCAGTACTCAATTTCAAAAGATTTTCCAGAATTAAGAAGTTGACAATGCCCATGAATGGCATAGTTGTCAGGGTTTAAAATTAAGGCACACAATGCGTCATTTTCAAAGTAAAGGTAATTGTACGGATCAGCATTTGCATACATAATTTGCGTCAAGGTCATGTTTTCAGGTAAACCGATTGTATCACTTCCTCCCAAAAATGTTGTATTGACATCCAGGGGCTTGCAAGATAAGATTGTTGAATCCTGACAGCAGGGAGGTATTTCTCCATCAGGGAATTTATCTGATTTTACAACAGCTACTGAACTCCCCTCAACACCTACACAATACAGCTAAAACTTTGTTTTCCTTAAATTTATGTTTTTTAAAATATTTTTTTTAATAGAATAAGTATGTGGTGATGGAGAAAATTTGAGAAGGGAAAAAATTGGAGTTGGTTGGGGGAAAATGGATTAGTGCAGAAGGGGTGTAGGGAAGAGGAGATGGATATTTGATTTTAAACAAACGGAAATTCAGCATCACAGAATGAGAAAAAACTTTCCTTGAAGTGGGTTGTTCTATAAATATATACCCAGGCAATATAAGGGGTAATAAAGATAAAAATAGGAAATTGAAAAATTTTATAAATTGAATTATTTAAAAAACATAGCATTTAATATTTATCAAAGTTTAAATGTTATTATTTTAAAGACAAAAAAGTTTGGCCATTATTTTTCTTGCTATTTCTATCAATTAAAGACTCAAAAGAATTGAAAATATAAAAAGTATAAGGAAATGTCATCAAAGGGGTCAACAAAAATCAAAATTCCTTTTGCAGACTGTAGAGAAAGGGAAAAAAACATAAAAAAAATTTTTGTCATTCTTACACAACTTTTTCTTTCTTTTTTCAGACTCAGGATAATTTGATTAACCGGAAAATTATCAAAAATTAGATAGCCAAACTTTTCTTTGTAAGTATTAACAATGTGTTAAAGTTCAGCTCAGCTCGGTACAGTAAAAAATATTACACCTGTGCATTCATATTGTAATTCACTTTACCTATTATAATACAATAAATGCAAAACAATGTAACTAGTTGCATATCTAAAGGTTGATTCTTGAATAGTTCAGTTCAAAAACAAAATTGTTTGTCTGCAGAGCTGTAAATATCAAACACCATTTAAAACTGTAAAAATAAAAAAAATGAAAATGCAACAGTCCAAATCCAAGGTTCTTTTTTCAAGCTCTATGTCTTTTCATGTTTATTAATTTAAAAACATAATTCTATTTTCTTCCTTCTTTTCCTTTTTTCCTTTTCACATGAATTAGTTTAACAAAAATTCGTTATACACTTTTTCTTTTCCATCATTGAAATATATGCTTTGCAATGTCAAAATAATGTTATAGAATTAATGCCCTAGGGCATTTAAAATTAAAACCCAGATGTTTAATTTGTTTTAATCTGAGAAAATAAGAAAATCCTTTTGTAAAAATCAGATTGAAAAAAAAATTTCTGCACAATAATATTATTTTTTCCTTGAATTTGTTTGACCATTCTTGTTATTACCTAAAAATTTAATAAAGTCTGTTTAAAATAAAAAAGCACCAAACCCTTGTTAAAAGGTGTGAATATTATTTTTTTTAAATGTAAAATCTTGTTTTTGAAACTTTTTAGACCACTGCAGCTGAGAATTGATGCAAAAAATGAGAAGAAATTGTTCCGCTACATTTATTTTTTGGGTTGGCAATTAAACAGTTTTTTACAATAACAATAACAAAGTTGAAAGTAGAAAGTTTGGAAAGTGAAAACATTTAAGAATTGCGTCTGGAATTGTTTGGAAGCAATGTTATCAACCAATGTTGTTGACAATAAACCTATCTCCTATACACCCCCAGCATAATGCTGTCTTTGCCAGCCCCAAATCCAAACCAAACAATTTCTCCGACTCTACCTCTTTACCCCGACAAAGGAAAATTGAAACAGTGAAATGTTTACTAGTGAAAATCAAATCCATAAATAACTTTAGAATCCTTAGTAAATTCCACTTAAACAACTGGGTTTATATTTTCAGAAGTATTCACAAATGTTTTAAAGTATTCCATCAAACCCTCTGACCCTTAATCACTCCTTTTTAGCACATGCACGCGATTAAATAGTAAGTTATACTGTTAATCATTTGGTAACATTTATACATTGCCATTTATTTTACTTTACCTGCATTTTATTGCATGTTTGAAATATATCAGTTAACGCCCAAGTAACAATTTTGTGGAAATTCCACGGAAATTTCCAGGAATCTTTCCTGGGAATCCGCGGAAATTCCCAGGAATCTTTCTTAGGAAATTCCGGTGAAAATGTCGACAGCTATTTCGAGGAATTTCTCGTAACTCATTCCAAGGAACCAGGTCCGAGGAATTTCTTGCAACCCACCATACTACTGATCAAAACAAAAGTGTAACCAAATAAACTAGCTTTTCCCCTGTTCAAACAAAACTGGAGAAGCAACTTAAGGTCACTAATCTTTCCTTAAAGGCATTTTCCTACAACTTCCCAAGAAATTTCCCAAGGGTTTAGAATTAGGCCCTCTGAGGCGCCATAGACTACTATTTAGAGTCGAGCGCTGTGGCTAGAACATTTGAACACATAATTAATTGCGGAAAAATAAATCATTAGATTAGATTGGATTAGATTAGATTAGGCTAGAGACCACCGACCAAGTGTTTTGACTTGGATATATTTTGAAGTTTGTTATTTATTCTAAGTTCCAAGATTGAGTTTTCATCTTTGAGAAATATTTTTATTTTCATGACGACATTTATTAAGTTCTTTGGTAAGAAAGTTAGTGCTCAATATAAAGCAGTGAAGGCAGTTTCTCCGGAAGGAATTTTCCTCTCTTGTCTCGGCTTTATCTCCGGAATTTTCCACTACTACACAGGGAATTTGAAACAGACCAAGCCCCCGAGACCAAGAATGGTCTAGGGCCCGGTCTCTATAAATCTACGGTATACCATTACCACTCTCAACTAGTGGAAGTGTTACAGTTACATATACGTGTTAAGTGATGTAATTAAAGTGATTATGTAGCTTTATAGGTAAATGCATGTATAAACGTGTAAAGGTATCTTTTAATTACATAGTTTAATGCAGGCTGATGAGTCACAGACCGGCTTTGGGTCATTGTGAAATACAAGACAACGTGGCCATTTATTTTCAATCTTATCCAATATTTAACTTAAAAAAAACATAAAGTTTTTAAACATTTATATTCGTTAAAATATTTAAGATGAAAATTTTGTCAACACAATTTTTAATATTGAGCGTTTCGTACTAGAGCTTTCTATACCTCCTAAGGGGAAATATAAATCTTGAATTATTAATGATTTGATCAACTGTGTACTTGAAGAAATTAAAGGGATTGTAGAAGTAATCTCAACTAACATCCTTCAATGTAATCATCATCGATTTACTAAGGATACCCTTTAAATCTTTAAGCTAAATAAATTATTCGGAGTTATATATTTCTCCAGCTGATATGGTGCTGAATGTACATTGCACAGTCCCTCTCTCTAAGCTTAATCATTACATTTGACTTTTATTTTTCATCATTTATCATATGATCGAGCTTAAATTTTTTTTCTTCAATATTTATTATTTGCCAAAAATATAGCGATTTTAATATACGTATTATATGAGTTATTATTTCTTTTCTCTTCTTCAAAAACCCTCCCTTACCCCATTTCTTTAAATCTTAAAATATATGCATATTCAGCAACACGATATAATATCAATAATTTTAAATATATATATATATCGGTATTTCCATTTGAAAAGCACTTATGTTCTTTCTTTAAAATTTCAAAACTTTTAAGTTACACAAACTCATACACATTCACTAAAGTTTTGGCCAATTAAAAAGCAGCCGTTTTGGAAGGGTGATTCTGAATAAAAAAAGAAAGTTAAAAGGAGAATTAAATAATCACTAGTTTTGCATAATTTGTTCTATTATACAAGATTAGCTTTTGTATACAATTATAAATGGGCATCTTTTTTTATAACGATCTTATTTTTTGTGAACGAACAACCCTTTTTTAAATGGATTGAAAAGAAATATTAAAAACAGCAAAAAAAATTTAAATAATTTTTTGTTAACATTTTTTAGAATTTAGAATTCGTTAGTTCACAAACAATCTGCAACATGTTTTCCCCCAAAAAACAACTTAACCAACCAAACGATGTCACGAACAACTGATTTATAAAAACGAACAACATAAATAAAATAACCAAAAGATCGTTACTTCAGATAATTAACAACAATCAACGAAGAAACAAGGAAAGAATTATAAATAAACTAAACGAAATAAAAAAAAATGACAAATGGAATAGACCTATCACGAACGATGAACTGAAAATTGAAAAAAGATTAACATGCCCATTTGTAGATATATACGATTAGCATTTTTACTAAATTCTCTTACATTCCTTTTAGTTCAGTAGCTGAACTCGTAGTAAACATTGTAAAATAAAATAGATAGATAGATAGATAAGTAGGGGCCGCCGCCGCCCCCACCCCACCCCAGAAAACATTTTTTTTTTAATTTAGTTTTAGAAAAATGTTTTTAAATCAATTTTTCAAGGGGTTTTCAAAAATGTTGTTTTTGTCGCAAACAAGTTATGCTATTTTAGATTTTTTTTAAACGGACTGGACTTTTAACTGCCCAGTACCCTACCCTATGCATTAAAATGATGTTTACAAAAAAATAATTTACATTCCTTAAATTAAAAAAAATGTTAGTGTCAAAAATTAAGATTCTTGGGCAAAAAAATACTTCATGTTATGGGTTAAATGACGCATTATCAGATATTGAAAATATAGATTAAAGATAGACAGATACCTAAATCTGTTAAACACACTGAAATGATTTTAGATAATCAATTAGTTTTGTCTCTAAAAACATGTGAAATGTTAGAAGAGACGCAATATCTAAAATTAATACGAAATGTTTTTTTTTCACAGTAAGTTTTATAAAATTGAAAATTTACTGTATCCTCTTTATAATACAATAGCTGAAGGGCCCGGCGTTGCCCGTGGAAAAAAATTAGAAAATTTGATAAAAATGTTGAAAAAAAATCTTCGATTTTTTTAGCCTATAACACCCCCCGGCCACCCATGAGTTTTCCACACAAAAATTCAGCCCAATCGGTCCAGCCCTTTGGCCGGCTACACACAACAAAAACGAATGTCTTGTTTTATTATGTATAGAGATATATATAAGTATGTTTGTTTTACCTGGCTAAAAGGCTGGACCAAATTTGCTGACATTTTTTAGGGAACTACCGGGAGTAAGATAGGTTAAAATAACACGACCTTCTTTAACTTCTTCAAAACTATTTTATTTCAAGTGACCCTCCAGGCAAAAATAGCAACGCTTGTCAAAGGTACCCTTTAATCTTGATACCTTGATCTCATCAAAAATGCTGTGTTTTCATGACTCGAAAAGTGCTTAGTTCTGATTATTTCTCCATTGCTTCGTATAATTAAGAAATGCGCAAGTCCCTTTCGCAAAGAACCCGCAAGTGAACATAAGCACCACAATGGAACAAAAACATGGATGACCAAGTCACACTTAATCAGCCAAAGCTTTAATGGTACCGTTGTATCGGGCATTGCTATCGTTGCATGAAGATCACTTGAATTTATGCTTACAGTATCTTTAAGAGTTTTGTATTTTACAGGTTTCACGATTCCAATTCTGAATCAAAGTTTTAATTATTGGAAGTTTGACCCCAACTTTTCAAAGTGGTGGATCCGCCCCTGGTGGTAATTGTTGAGCCTTGGACGGACCACACTGTTAAATCAACAGGATAGTTGTGTGTGGGGATAGATGGATAAAAGACAATAAACAAATGTGAGAACGATAGATTGATAGACAAATATGGAAAAATAAGCAGATAGATACAGGGTGTCCCACGAAACATGACAGTATGCAAGATGACTTGAATGTCGTCTTGATTTTTGATATAATTTGCTGCGTTTATTTTTCAACCTAATTTTAGAAGTAAATTTCTAGAGATAATAATCACAAAATTCCCCTAGTCCTGCCATTTCCAAAATGTTGTCTGCCTTTTTTGTGCTTTCAATATTGCCCGAGATATGAAGAATTTCGT